CACGTTTACTTGAAAAATTATAAAACGACATCTAATTCTAGGTCACGCAAAAATGCATGTCATAAATGCTTTAGATTTTATAAGAGGTGACATTTTTTTTACGATACCCACTTTTGCGTATTACAAATGTGTGTGTCATAGAGCGTGTCATTAAAGGCTTATTTTCTAGTAGTGTTGTATCCCCACCCCCAATAGAGACCAGAGATCCCCATCGGGAATCAATTTTTTTTTTCTATTTTAATATGTTACGTAAAGAAAATTCTAAATTTCAATTTTACACTCATAAGTTTAAAGATTTTACAAAACATAAAAATATTCATAAGCTGCATAAAAATTATAAACAAAATTTCTACCAATTAAATATATACATAGATAACCATGTAGAAAAAAATTATTAGAATGACATTTGAGGTAATAATAGATAAACCAATGAGAAAATATTATACATAAGGTTATACTATTAGATAAGCAAATAAGGAAAAATATAATTTCAACAAAATAATTACTAATAAGCTTGATTGCTTTGATAAAAATTTAAGTATTACAAATTTTAATATTAATATATGTTTTGTATTATTTTTTATATATTAATATCTATCAAAGTCGGGTTCATAGTCGGAGATTAGGGGTATCTGTATTCTCGATTTCTTATTTGGGGGTTCTCCATCCCCTGTCAACTTGGAGTTTCACTAATTAAACCGGATGCAAGTTTCGAATTCCCTATGAGATCTAAGGTTTTTTTTCCAATCCCCATGGTGTTGGTTTATTGTGATTTTTCTATAATTTGCGTTAGATAATCCCTAATCCTAATAAAAGACTCTCTACACCGCCACGTGACGCCCTTCTACACCTGCTATATGCCACATGTCAATCTCGGAAATACTTTATGACTGATTTTCCCGCCCATGTAATTTTTCAATTGTCAATAACTCTTCTCCTAAGATTAAGGAAATTTGTTTTCATATTCGATTACACTGCATTCAAATTACACATTATATATGTAAACAAAAATTTCAAACTTTAATAGATATATACAATCCCTTAAAATCAGCTAATCATAATCCTCTAACTTACAAATATCGATTCCCTATTATTATCTTCTTCACTTCTTCATTAGCGTCTTGGAACCTATCATTCGAGAATTCTTCTTCGTCTCTACAAACTACCGAAGGTGCATCTTCATCTGTTTAGTCTACAGCAAAAAATTGTTAGTGATTTACGTTTTTGTGATCTATAATTTTTTTTACTTTATTTTTTTTCTTCTCCTTCTGTTACGATTCTTCTTCTCAATCGCTTACTTATTTTGAGGAATTGAGTTTCATATATCATCCTACTTTCGTTTTGTATGTTATATGTTTCGTTAGAAGGAGATACCATAGTTCTGTTGTTAGATTATGAAGAAAAGGGCATATATGTCCTTTTTTCCTTAAACAAATAATGTCAAGTTTTTTGCATACCATCAAATATCATGTTGCATTTGTAATTTGTGTAAAAATTGACAAATGATTATTTATGTCATGTTGTTAATGCCATATAGACCTTTTTGAAAAGGTTTATCACCAACAGAACCATTTATGTAAAAAATTGTCATAGTGACCATTTCTATCAAGAGTTTTTATAACATAAAGCTTAAGTTTTTTATTTTTTACGCTATACATTGTTTTTATCATTTATAAATGAAAAAAGAATCTATACTTTCATTTTTTAATCATTTGTTTTTGTTTTTTCATAAATTATAAAGAAAATGGTATAATTGTCCTTTTTTGTCATAAACAAATAATCGCTGTTTTTTTTGCATTTTTTTGTTAGAAGGAGATACCATACAACAGAAGTGTGGTATCTTTTTTTTTTATCATTTGTTATTGTTTTTCATAACTTATACACAAAAGGGCGTATTTGTCTTTGTTTCCTTAAAGAACTAATGCCAGTTTCTGTTGTAACAATTTTTTTAAAACTCTTTTCACATACTTTTTAGATGAAAAAAGTTAAACTTTCTATTAAAATTGTATTAAATGTAATTAACATTACAACAAAAAAGAAAAGTGGCTTACATGTGTGACTACAACCACGAGCAGTTTACATTCTCTATTTTGTCAATATTCTGTATAAAAAACAAGATAGAAAATGATTAATAAATTGAAGCATGAAACCATTGCTAGGTCTATAATAGCAATGTACTTTTCAACTTACTCAACAATTGCTAAAAACAATTAGCTTTGCATGTATTATAGAAAGCTACATGTAAATCTTTAACTTTTTTAATTTTTCTTTGTTTAACTGTACTCATCCCAACTTTAATGGATCATTTAGGTATTATAGCAATGTACTTTTCTTTGTTTTACTGTTAAATATAAATTCGATATAATGACCATTTCTGTCAAAGAGTTTATCACCAACATCACCATTTGTGTAAAAACAAACTAACATGGTGACCATTTCAGTCAAAGAGTTTTATAACATAAAACTTAAGTTTTTTATTTTTTCACCATATACTATCATACGTTTCTGTCAAATACTTTTATAACTGAAAATTATAATGCTAAATTTGCCATAGGGACCATTTCTGTAAAATAGTTTTATTTTTTTCATGTAAAGTTTAAGTTTTTCATTTTTTACACATCTATACATTGCTTTTATCATTTATAAATGAAAAAAAGAATCTATACTTTCATTTTTTAATCATTTGTTTTTGTTTTTTCATATACTATAAAGAAAATGACATAATTGTCCTTTTTTTCCCATAAACAAATAATTGCAGTTTTTTTAATATTTTTTTGTCAGAAAGAGATACCATACAAGAAGTATGGTATCTTTAAAAAAAATAGAAAAGTAATTAACATTACAACAAAATAGAAAATTTTAGACTTTTTGTTATAATTGTGTTCAATGTAATTAACATTACAACAAAATAGAAAAGTGACTTACATGTATGACAAATAGTCTTTCTAGATTTGATTATTGGATATACGACATGCATACAATGGTAATGTACTTTAAATTAATGGCTTTTAATGTATTTGTATAAGAATAAAATAAATTCATATGTACAAGTGAAAATCAATTATGTCAGTGTATTAAGATTGTGCAAGAATGGTATTAAAATAAAAATATAATTCACCTGTGAGCCTTTTTTTGCTGTTTCTTCATTGGTATAATAGAAAACACCCAAGGATTATAGTGAATCAAGAAAGCTTAAAATGGTCATTTACTCATATTTGATGTAATCATGTAACTATAGGCTACAACTATAATAACAAGTCTTTTAGGGGTAATACCTGTTTGATAAAATAATAAATCTCTGGTTTGCTGGAATTTCAAGAGCTGCTTGAAGTAGCAATTTTTCGGCTTCCATCATGGTTGATTCACAACAATTTACCTGCAATTAACACTTAAATTGTTTCACAAGATAACAGACAATTTAAATGCTATCGATTTGAAATTTGATGATTGTAAAGATAAAGAATCAATTCATAGAACATTAGGAAATAAATATAAAGATGAATGTTTGATTACTCTATGGACATACAGACAAAAGAACAAATCCCAACAATTTAATATTTATGAATGATCCATGGAAATGTTCGAACTTAAACTACTATCAATGAAGTTAAGGGAGCTCAAATAAAACAGAAAGTTGCTATAATTGATTTCAAATAGTGCATCCAAACACCCCTGATTCGTTTATGTTTTTCGTAATTCAATATTGATCGAATCAAGCTAAGTATTCATCTGTTTAATTGTATTTAAATCCAATCAAATGATACATAAATGAAGAATATGATAATGATGTAATGCTACAAAGTATGTGAAAAAGCACTGACCTCGAAGAAGCTTTGCCAGATGAAATCAAGAATCAGATTATGATGGACTAGAAACAAGTAAGCAATATGCTAGGGTTTCCACAATAATTAACCTTCATCTGACACCCAACGCCCAACACCACCGCAACCCATCATCACCTATTCAAAACCGCACCCAATGATCGCTCCCGTCGCACCCTGCCGGGAAACAAGCCATCGTGAACCAGAATAAGGAACGATCATAGGGTTTTCTCCGCTACGCTTTCTTACTCTTTCACTCATGCCGATTCAAGATGAGTGGAGAGGGAAACAAACATATGCTCTGATCTTTTATCAACCATCAATTAAAGAACGGTGGTGTGATTTTGTCCTTACGGGTGCGTACCTACGTATTGCTAAGAAGAGAAGAAAGAAAGAGCTTTTTATTCATTTTGGTTTATTTTTTTTATTTTGGTTTTAACATTAAGAATATTTTTATCTATTTGTTATAGTTAATCAAAACATACATTTTCGTCTCAGCTCTTGATAATCAGGTCTTCAAAATCATGTATGACCTCTTTATTTGCTTTTGAAATTAATTTGAGTTGCTTTATGATGTTATATCATGTTAATATTGTTACTATCATATTGTTTCAAAAAATATGTATATTAAGTAATTATATGAAGTTTTTATATAACTTTTTTACAAACATTAAATATCATAATGCTTAATACAATCTCATTAGTTTTATATTTAATAAAAAAAATTTATATGCGTTATTCTTTTTTCAAATATGTTTATTTATGTTGATAAATGGTTATATATTTATTATGATTATGATTTTATTAAACTCATTATGTTTTTGTAATTTCAACCAATCATTATGTCATTATGAAATTACTGACAAAACACATATATGTATTAGCTATTAAATTTTTTATTATCATTGCTCAATAATTAAATTATAATTTAATTAAAATTTTTTATATTTTTTATCCGTGGCGTCCACGGGTTATAACCTAGTAATCGTATAAAATGAAAGGCTATAGAAATGTATTATATAAGTTAAAATGTTTAAAAAAAAAACATTTTTGAAATATTTATCGATTATTGTGGGACCAATGTTGCCAAATTGCACTATTTATAAAATATAAAAAATAAAAAATAAAAAATAAAATGTTTATAGAAGTTTGCAAACTTTTGGGGATAACACCGTTTACAAAAGAGAAGTAGGAGATGGGAGAAGCGGAGATGGATAGTAATTTGGTGATTATAATCGGGGCGGGGATTTGTGGATTAGCGACAGCCCTCGCTCTTCACAAGAAGGGAATTAAAAGTTTAGTATTCGAGAGATCAGAAAATTTAAGGAACACCACCGGAACAGCAATCGGAATCCTCCGAAATGGCTGGCGTGCTCTGGATCAGCTTGGCGTCGCCGACGTTCTCCGCCGCACCGCTTTCCCTATTCTTAGGTATCTCGTATTTTTCTCTCTTTCAACAAAACCAAATCGAGCTAATATTCTATAATCAATTCGTAAGATAAATTCAACCACTAGTATATTTGTCATGTTCGTAACTGATCTTATTGTCATACTCTAATATTCTCAGCCATGTCCAGGGAACGAATGATTTTACTCGATGGGATGAAGCAACAAGTAATGCCGATGTATGTTACTCAATCTTGGTTTAAATCATTTTGTTCATTTTTATGGCATGCAATTTTTATCGTTTGTTAGGAAAGGCGAAAGTCGTTCCTTGAAAAGGAAGGATCTTTTAGACGCTCTATATGCTGCACTTCCACCCGCCACTGTCAAGTTTGGATGCGAGCTTGAATCCATAAAATTGGACCCGAAAACTACAAGACCGATTCTTCGATTCATTGATGGAAGCTCCATTATCGCCAAGGTGTTAACTTTATTGAGTACAAGAACTACAATTGATTTGTTTTAATGGCAATTTTTATTGATTCAAGAAGAATGACAATACTTTTTCGTATTTGTAGGCTGTAATTGGTTGCGATGGAGCCAAATCAATCGTTGCTGAATTCCTTAATCTCAAGCCTACCAAGATGTTCCCCTTACGTAGCGTTAGAGGTTTATCAAACTACCCAAATGGTCATTCGTTTGAGTATGAGCTTTATCGTATCACAAAAGACAACAATCTTGTCGGAAGAGTTCCAATTGATAATAACTTGGTCTACTGGTTTTGTCCGCAACCAAATGTTCCCGGAGGTGGTTTATTACATGTTCCAAGTAAATTTTGCTTCATTTTTAATCCTCATTTACATTTTCTCATTTCGATTTTCTTCAATTATCATAATAGATGAAAGAATCTGGGAAGATCCAGAGGCAATACGACAATCAACCTTGGAGTTGTTAGGTGATTTTCCCGAAGAAATTAAAGAAATGATTGAAATAGCGGATGCAAATTCATTGTCTTTTACACATTTAAGATATCGTGCACCATGGGACTTGCTAAGGGGGACGTTTTATAAAGGAAGAGTGACAGTTGCTGGGGACGCTATGCATGTGATGGGTCCTTTTCTAGGGCAAGGTGGTTCAGCTGGGTTAGAAGATGCGGTGGTGTTGGCTAGGAACTTGGCTCAAGTGGGTTTGGACAATGTGGAAGAAGCGTTTAATCTCTACGTAAAAGAACGAAGAATGAGGGTGGTTCGATTATCTTTGCAGACGTACCTCACGGGTATGGTAATGGGAACCTCTTCACTTGTAAAGAGGCTTATTTGTATTGTGTTCCTGTTTCTTCTCTTCCACAACCCGAGTGTGCATGTAGATTATGATTGTGGTCGTCTTTAATGTGTTAGACAGATCTTTAGACTCGGATGTTACTAACAAGTTTACTTAAAAGGATTAGGACAAATCTGTGAACCATATAACTTGTATATTTAAATAAAGAATTAATCAGAATAATCAAAGTATTCGTATATTTAGGGGTGAGCATGGTGCGGTTTTAGGACAAAACCGAACCGCAAACCGCAAGGTGTGGTTTTTGCATTCTAAAATCCGTTGGGTGCGGTTTTTGAGTGGCTCGGTTTTGCGGTTTTCAAATACGGTTTCGGTTGTATTGTTTCAGTGTCGGTTTTAAACTGAGTCAAACATGGGTGGGTTTTTTATGTGTTCATTACTTAGCCCAAAGTCCGAAACTTATTTTTTCTATTCCATTTGGACAAACAGGCTTGCTGCCCACGTAGTTACACAAACAATTGAAAAGATGTTGAAATAATAAGTATCATAAAGCTATAACCTTTCTTTTGTATTCCCATATTAATTGGAAAAATAAAGAGTATAATGACATTATATATTTCCAGTACCAACATCCAAGATAAATGATTTATACATTCTGTTTTCACTACTCATGCATATCATTAGCAGGAACGGACGCAAAGTTTCGTAGTAGAGGTTGTACAGGAAAGTCAGGGGTTGTACAATAGTAGAAAAAAAAATTCGAAAAATTTCGCACTGCGTCCAGAAAAATCAGGGTTGCACAGGCCACTGTATGCCCTATACTAAAACCGCCAGTGACCATTAGTTAGTCAATTAGTCTTACATTTCCATTTAAAGTACCTACTTCCAACATATAAACACACTACTAAAAAAATATCATAAACACATTATGAAATTCCTACTGATTCACAAACATACCTGTGTGGCTTCTTTTTAAAGTTTTGGAATCCTTTATTGTTAAACCTAAGTACGTCAAATCTCTAAATATTATTAAAAGAGAACTCTTAATTCTAAATTGAAGAAATCAAGACCATTGCTTGCATTTCAATCATATATTTTTCACCTTTGGATTATTTGCTACATCATCTTTGTCAACCTTTTTATTTTTGTCAACCAAATTTATAAAACGTATATTACATTTTAAATTAGAAATTCTATTAATGACAATTAAATTTCACCAAAAATAAATTGAATTAAATTAGGAATTTTATTAATCACAATTAAATGTCACCCAAAAATAAAATGAAAAAATACCGCACTCCACCCCTCATTATCAGTACCCCCCTACGCTCTCTCTCTATTTCTTTACATGATCTATCTAACCTAAGTTTTGTACAGGAGAAGAAAATGGGGGAAAAAAGAAATAGAATACTTGTGGGCTTCGATCTTTGTGGATAAGTCTTGTGTTCGGATATCATAAAAGAAGGTGAAATGATATAGATATAAATTTTCTTTGGATTCTATTTTAATTTGATCATAGTTTAGATCGATTTTGGCTACATTTTAGATTATGCTTCTTTTATTTTGTTTCAACTATGAAGTTCCAGTCTATAAAACCTTTCGATTTAAGTTTAAATCGATAATGATTATGTTTTCTGAATATGCTTCGATTTTTGTTCTTATGATCTGTATTGTTGATTTTTCAAGTTATAGGTATCTGAAGAAATCAAGGTCATTGATTTCATTTCAATCATATATTTTCCACCTTTGGACTATTTGCTGACATCATCTTTGTCAACCCTTTTATTTTTGTCCACCAAATTTATAAAATGTATATTAAGTTTTAAAGTAGAAATTCTATTAATGACAATTAAATCTCACCAAAAATAAAATGAATTAAATTAGGAATTCTATTAATCACAATTAAATCTCACCCAAAAATAAAATGAAAAAAATACCCCGCCCCACCCCTCATTACCAGTACCCCTATGCTCTCTCCCTATTTATTTATATAATCTATCTAACCTAAGTTTTGTAATGGAGAAGAAAATGGGGGAATGAAGAAATAAAATACTTGTGGGCTTTCGATCTGTGTGGATCAATATTGTGTTTGATCATAATAGAAGAAGGACGAATGATATAGATATAATTTTTCTTTGGATTCTACTTTAATTTGATCGTGGTTTAAATCGATTTTGGCTACGTTTTAGATTATGCTTCTTTTATTCTGTTTCAACTATGAAGTTCCAATCTATAAAACCTTTCGATTTAAGTTTAAATCGATAATGGTTATGTTTTCTGAATCTGCTTCGATTTTTGTTCTTATGATCTGTATTGTTGATTTTGATTTTTTAAGTTATAGGTATATTGAGAGCAAAAAGATGGACACATCAGCACCACTACCTCTCATCCATTGTTTCGATTTGTAAGATAGGTCCACCAGGTAGTGAATTTGTATATGTCAATTTTATTTTTTATTTTTACATTTTTATATATGCGTTTAGTCAATGATTTTTTTTGTGGCTTACCAAGTCGTGAATGGGAAGATATACTTGAGTCAATGTCTATAATGCTTTACCCATTCGATCCATTCTTGGATTTGTAGATGGAATTCAGACCCTTATACCTGTGAGTGATCCACATATCCTACAACTCAGCAAAACTCAATGGTGATATGTGTTTTGATTTATTGTAAAAAACATCTTTTTATAAAAACACAAATTGGGTTCTCACAAAGAAGTTATTCACCACTCCCTTTTTAATATTATAAAAAAAACATCTTTTAGACTCAATAGCAAAGAAAAGACAAAGTTTTAGTATACCATGTAAATAGATTACATTGATAAAACTTATTGAAAAATGTTTGGGATTGATTACTTTTTGTTAATTTGCATTTTTTTTTGCAAAACCATCTTCTAATTTATCTGTTACATATTATTTTGTTTCTTCAAGGAAGCATACATAGAAATCAGATTGCTATTTTTGTTTATATAATACATTTTAGTTGTGAATTTGATGCTATGCAAGTACTTCCATTATCTGAGCATGCCAAGAAGTATAGTAAGAACCTTGCACAAACCATATTCTTTTGTAACGCCCGCAGATTCGGGCTAGTCAATTTAAAGACGATAAGCGTCGAAAATGACTTTTTGATAGAAGATTATTTAGAAGGAGTAATCTTAACTAATTTTTAGTATATGTTACAAGGATTTCGTACATATAAAGAACGCTGAAATCCGAGTTATAACAAAGAAGTTATGACCCGTCGAAGTTTCGCGACAGAACCGCCACGACACAACGCGACGTAAATAGTGAATTTACGATAGAGAGATATTTGGCCTTAGCGATCTAAACGAAAGTCGTAGAATACGTTAAACCGAGAGCGTGCATAAAAAGAACGCCCAAATCTGACTTCGTATGAGGAAGTTATGATTTTTCGAAGTTTCAGCTTAGCAGTATGCAGCCCGAAATTCGAATAATAGATCGAGCGGTTTTTAGCCGACACAACCTAAACGAGAATCGAAGATCTCGTTAATAGTAGCATAACGATAAAAAGACAAACGAAAACGGACGTCGGATGAAGAAGTTATAAATTTTTAACGGACTTTACCTGTCTCGGCCCGTTAAAAATATAATATTAAAAATGAAGTCAAAATTAGCCGACGGAGTCTAAAAGAAAGTTTTAGAGCATAATCTCACCTACGCGTGGATATAAAGAACGTAAAAAACGGAGCTCGTATGCGAAAGATATGGATTTTTGAAGTTCGGAGCACAAACTTCGAGACCTGACTGTGTTCACGACGTGAACATAGAAAATTCACGACGTGAACTCAGTGAACGACACCTTTCGAGCCTAGAAGACACACGGAAAGCCTAGGAGATGACCGGGATCAAACTCACGACGTGAATATACCTGGTTCACGACGTGAAAGTCGAATTTTCAGCCTATAAATAGCAAGTTCGGCCTCAGCCATTCTTACACCAAATCTTCTTACCTCTCTCTCGTTTGCTGAAGCCGTTCCGCGTCCTGAGCCCGCCGATCACGAACCGCTGACCGTTTCTAGTTAGATTTTATCAACGCACGCTACTAAGGTGAGTGCATATTATTTTCATCTTACACATAGATATGAAGTATTTTATATAAATTACGTGATATCTGTGCATATTATCTGTATCCTTGTTATCTATGTTAGATGACCACTATTATACATGTTTTAAATGATTTAAACTGTATATTTATTTTATATCTACAAATATGTTGGGGTAAAACATGGGTAGATGAATTAGATGATGTGTGATGGAATAAAAATTGATGAGAGGTATCGATGTTTAAGATGATTTAGACATCTAGCAGAGTATAGACAACGACCACAGACTATTCTAGATAGTCCAGTGGAACGTTAGCAGACTCGTAACCTGTAGGTATTTTTGAACTAAGTGTTCATTAGGTATTTTTGAACTAAGTGCTCATAAGGTGTTTTTGAACTAAGTGCTCATTAGGTGTTTTTGAACTAAGTGTTCATTAGGTGTTTTTGAACTATGTGTTCATTAGGTGTTTTTGAACTATGTGTTCATCCGATAAGTATCATGTACAAAGTTCTTCTTTTTAACACTATTACGTATCGGGGTACGGGAGCGTACGGGAGTACTTTATTAGTATTTTCCCTATACTTTTTATTTTGAAGAGCTTTGGAGTCTTCGTTTCTTTTATGAAGTGATCGGACGAGCTTCATGTGTCAGCGTTTCCTTTCACGAAGTAATTGAGGGAACTTCGTAGATTGCCTAATGAAGTGTGTCGGTAATAGACCACCACTAGGTATGTCTGGTGTTATGATGTCGGATAGGGTGAGTCTGGGGGTAAAATACCTCACGATGTCATACCACTGCTAGGCAAAGTTCGATGCTGGATAGGGTGAGTCTGGGGGTAAAATACCTCACGATATTCAGACCACTGCTAGGCAAAGTTCGATGTTGGATAGGGTGAGTCTGGGGGTAAAATACCTAACGATATTCGGACCACGGCTAGACATTGTTATCTAGATAACTACCCCTGGCTTAATTGTCTTGTGGTTCTTTCTTTTACGAACGAAGGTTCGTGGTGAAACTTATTCCATTCCCCCCATTTGATGCCTTTATCGATCCTCGTTTGCTGCTAGGGAATTTCCAAAGCAGCTTCGTCAGTTTGTTGTTCCTATCGATCCTTTAG